ATCAAACAAACAAAAAGTCTTTATGTCGTGAAACAGAAATGAGATGGATTTTCGCACTGATTCGATTTCTGAGTTTTTGAAGTCCCACCTTTTTTGTTTAATCAAAAAGGGGTTTCGTGTAGGCTGGGGAGAATATGGAGTCTTGAAAATAAACGGGTATCTCCTTTAGAGACGAAGAATTCTGTAAAAAAGTCAATAACTAATAACTTAAAAACCATATAGAGAGTTATCGCAAAATTTGCGAGTTATAAGTGTTACAGATAGGTGAAGACCAAACTAACAAGGTCTATAAGCTTGATTCATACGTAAAATTGGTTCTATACGAGTATCTTTTATGCGTACCATGAAAAGGAAGAATCAAGGAAGTGCCCTGAATTAAAAAAAAACAAGGAACCCCTTATCATCATTTGCTCTAAAAAAATGGTCCAGATTCAAATAAATTAGTGTACACTTTCTTTTGGTAAAATGTAACGGTTCATATTATTCACAACCGTTGGATTACGATAGATAGATGGATTCGTTCGTTCTCTTTTTTAGTTTTCTCTCTTGACCCCCTTTCCACTCCTACCCATTGAAAACAGTTTTGTAGGTCAAAACTATCGGACTTCGTAACTAAACCAAATTGAATTCAATATAAAAGCTCAGTTTGGTTTGGTTGTCAAAGTCTTGTGATTCGGTTTCAATTTGAAACCGAGTAATATAACTATCTATGATTATTGGATTGTATCATACCTTAACTTTCTTGAGCAAATCATAGCCTGTCATTCCAGACATCTAATAATCTATGATTATTAGATTCACTTCAACTTCCTGCATAAAATTCGATAAAGATTTTCATGAACAATCATTCGAACACACATAAAAATGGAATCAATATCGTCAAGATTGAATACCTGATTAATATTTGGAGACACACAGGGTTGATTGGAGTTCATGTCTTCATGTAATCCTCAAGAAATTCTAAAGCTTTACTTCCAGAATCTACAGTTGTAACTGCAAACACATAAATGGAACACAAAATATTGAAATCTTGAACTCAAAAGCATTTGAATCAAAAAGGGTAGAACATGAAAGTGTTAAATTACCTTGATAAGATGAGGTTTTGAGCAATCTTTCAATCAGTTTTCTATTAATGATGTTATCATCAGCAGCAAGAACATGAAACTGTGAACCTGCTGCAACACCCATATGAAGAAATTACAAATTTCAAAAAAATGAAGAAATTATAAGCAAAATTGCGAGATGTTGGTTGCCGCGATAACAATAATTCCTTCATTTTGTTTAAAGCCATCCAATTCAACAAGCAACTGATTCAAATCATTTTCATGTTCTGTTGATCCTTTGGATTACGGCTTCCTCCAATGGCATCAATCTCTTCAAATCATCTTCATGTTATGTTTAGGCCTTGGGTTTACTATCCATTGGAAGCTTGTAAGCTGCAGATGCATAAAAATCATTGGAGGGAACATCAGAGTTAATGATATGATGCTTTTTCCTACTTCATAAATGAGATTAATCAGAGTTTTTTCTGATTAAATGTATCCTTTAATCAGATTTTTTCTACATACAATCTCATTGAAACGTATCTTTAGCAAAACACGTATGACAAAAGAAAATTGAAGTTAATCAGAATTTTTCTAAATGATTTAGAAGGGGATAATGTAATGTTGATGTTAATAGTAAATATAATAGTGTTCCAACATTGATTGTTCAGAAAATCAAGTGGAAACCATCAATATAAATACAGCAACAACCAGGAAGCAAGTAAACAAGCTCACATATACACTAGAACTAATGACATTGATGTCAACAACATGATCTAGTAAGCAAGCTCACATGAAAAATCCACAAGACATTGCAAAACAAGAAGCATAAATTCCTTAAGGACGACATTTCAATTATAATATTGATCAACAAATCATGTTTATCATGATGTCAAAGCAAATCAAACGGTGACAAAGAGCCTAAAGTGCATCATAGACATGTAAATACACTTCAGAATCACATTTTTCAACATTATATATGTAAATACTTCAAAGTTACATTATAGATAGAAAATATAGACCATAGAGACAAATATGGGTTTAGGGTTAATACCTTTGAACAATCGTTTCAAGAGTCCTTGAAACAGCTTCAACTTAACCATATTTCGAACTTTCTTCTTCTAGATCAAAAATCGAATATTAACTGGAATGAAGAAAATCCATTTTGAGATGAAGAACATAGAAGAGATCAAAGAATACAAGAACTAACCTCAAATAGGGAGAGAAACCCTAACCGTATGAGAAGCTATCGAGAATCGAATCAGGAGTAGAGATGGAAGCAAGAATCGAATGGATCCCCAAACGTATAACATTATGGTTTTGAACGATTGAATCGTCGTCTTGGGCCTCGGGACGTACGACGGGAGCTACCTCTTGGGAAGAAAATTTCCAGATTGATATAGAGTAGAGAATTAGAGACCGATAAAACAAAGTGAATCGCTGCCTAAAATGGAGCGATTCCAGTCGATAAGCAATTCAAGTAAGTGGGTGATTGACTGAGAGTAGAGAAGATTGATAGACCAAATGGAGAACTAACCGTGATAAAGTGATGAAAAACGTGAATCGCTGCCTTGGGAGAAGGAATCGTTGCCTTGGAGAAGGAATTGCTGCCTGGGACAAAGGAATGGAGAAGGAATCGCTGCCTTGGAGAAGGAATCGCTGCTTGGGAGAAAGGAATCGACGTCTTTGGAAGCCGGGGAGTATGGATTCAATAATTTTAAGACTTTATGCATAATCTTGTAGTACTATATGCATAAGGATTTGTTTTTAAGACTTTAAGACTTTATGCATTAAAATGTAGTACCATATGCATTTAAAGTTGTATTTAAGACTTCTATGAAATCTCCATTATAAGGTAGTATAGATTAGGAAGTTAGTAATGTTCGTAATTTTAAATTACAAAATTAAATAAATGGCATTTTGGGTATTCGTCCCTCTCCTCTCTCCTTATTGATCTCTCCTTCATCCCTTAGCACTTTTCACACTAACACCACCTCAGATATTGTGAACCTTTGTGAACACCTTGTGACCATATTGTGAACACTAAGGGGCTGTTTACTTGCTTCTTATTGATGCTTATTGAACAAGRGGCTCTTACCTTAATAAGATATATAGTGTTTACTAACCACTTATTCTAAAAAGAGGCTCTTATCGTACCTCTTACCAGACATCAATCGGTCAGCAACTATCCCCGTTCTTATCGCAGTAAGAGGATACGATCCTGATTTTTTTCCCATTTTATCCTYCGATTCCCCTATTTCAATCGCATTCMTCATCGTTTCAACATCAATCATCCCTATTTCAGAAGCAATAGAGACTGCAGAACTCAATCTGTTTCAATCGCATTCCTCATCAATCTCGCATTCCTCATTTTCTCACTGTTTCCTCTGTTTGTCGTCTCCTCAGCGTAATCAGTCTCCATCTTCAATTTCAGGTATGTGTACCATTCGTTTATATCCAAGRGCTTCAAGATTAGGGTTTTTATTTGATGAATGATGATTTGTTTAGGGCTTCTTTATGTTTTTGGTTGATTAACTGTTATTGTGCTTATCTATGGAGTACCGTATCTGCATTTGCTATGAGAATTTGTTGAAATTGCTTTGTAGACCTTCCTGTCTCCAATGTGCATATGGATTTGTTGGTTGTAATTATTTTATACTATTATTAGTTTTATATGTGTCTTGTTCTTTGTATGGAAGATACTATTTTACTATGATGAGGGGAAAATCATGCACCCACTTCAATCACTGGTCAATATAGATTCCAAGAACACTTCCTCCTATTTCTTGGCAGCTAGGATTTATATTGAAATTTCAATCAAATTACATATTTAYTTAACAATTCATTACATTCCTGCTCCTAGAACATAACCAATGTTTTATAAAGAAAATGTATAATTTTCAAAGCTCATCTACTAACCATAGTGATTTCAATTAGTGAACAATGAACATGAAGGAACAATGTTTTTTTGCTAGACATGTGATACCAAAAACTTATCCCTAATCTGCAGCTTACTTCAATATGATCCCTTAATCTTGCATTGCATCACACCATCATCATTTCATGACGCCTTAATTACCAACAATAATAGTCCCAACAATTAGTGCCTTATRCATACCTGGTATACAAAAACCGGAAACTTTGATGCAACAGAAATATGATATCTAGAAATTACAAAGAATGGTGTGATAATTAGTCTACAGATGGATAAATGACTTACAGCAAAAATGAAGATAAGTGGTTGGTTTCCACACAATTTAAACAAAGCTAATAGGCATCCCCAAAAAATACCTATGCAAAGGAAATTCAGACATGTATGTAAAAAAGACACTGAAAAGGTAAGAAGTACAATAGTTGGTAAATAGTAAGCAACTATTAAAAGAAAATTGAGTAAAAAGTAGGTACATTGAAACATAGAATTTAGAAAAGGTAAAAAATGCACACATCCCTCTATCTGTTGGGTAACAAGGTGCCTCTTTATTCTCTTCAACTTCACAAGCTTTTGACACAATACTTAAAATATTCATCATTACTTGCCAATAGGAGAAATCATACAATCACAGTTGCATAACATACTTCTTCCAACCCAATTCCACCAAGCTCTACATTGATTCCCACAAAGATAATACTTTCAATATAACATGCAGTAAACCAAACAACTATATAATTCCAAAACTTTGTGATGTTACTATTTGTGCCCGGTTGTGATTCAAGCTGCCGAATTGATATTAGTCCATCCATTACAAATATTGTTCGTCACATTTGATCTAGAAGCAATTCATATTAAGAAACTGACCTGAAAAATGAGAGTCCATTTCTAAAGCAAATTTTATGGAAGTTAAAATTACATTTGTTGACTAAGGGCATAACATACTTCTTCCAACCCAATTCCACCAAGCTCTACATTGCACTCCACTTTTCTTCTACAGCACYAGATCTATACAAGAAACAACAATTATGGGTCAGGTATAGATAACATAGGAGTTTTTAAAGTTACACATCAACATGAAAATAGTTTCTGTCATAACACCTTTCCAATAGTTGGCCTATACTTCATAACACCTTTCCAATAGTTGGCCTAAAAGAATTCCCTAGCTCTTGGTTATGGAATTTTGTCATATTTATAGTTGCTAGCCTTATCTTTCCATTGCAAAAGAACATTGTTTGATTCTGAAATTTCTGATATGATGGTTAATGTTTTAGATATCGAAAATTTTGGCGAATCTTCACAATCAAAAAAACCTAGAGTTAACTGGAAAAAGGAAAATGTGGTGAAAACATTTATCGAGTCTTGTTTGCATGAGATCTCCGTAAATGGACGAGAAGGGGGTAGCCTTAAGGCAGTTTCGTGGAAGAATGTAGCAGAAGTGCTACAAAAGAATCATAATTTTGTTGTTGAACAACGACAAATGAAAAACCATTATGATTACCTCAAAGGGAAGTATGGAGCATGGACAAAGTTAAGAAACAAGACGGGTAATGTTTATGATGCATCAACAAACATGTTCAATCTGTCAGAAGAGGAATGTCAGATAGAAATGAAGGTCACATTTTATCTTTTGCTATTAAGATCATTTTTTTAAATTCTTCTTTTACATATACTTATAAATCATCTATAAACAGCAAAACAAATTTGTTGAGAAGTTGCGGACTGCACCTCTTCCCTTTCCTCAACTTTGCATTCAATTGTTTGATGGCGTGGCTTCCACCGGTGTTGGAACGTGGGGACCAACTGCTACTGTTCCAAACCCTTCTAGTGTGACTCCTGAAATTGGTGAAGATTATGACACGCAAGACTATTATGATCTAACACAAGAGCCACTGCCTTCGGAAGAAGAGATTGTTTTTCGTCCCCAACCTCAAAGGAAAAAACAGAGAGGAAAACAACGTGTGGAAAATGAGGATGATTTAGCAAGAGTTGTGACACATGTTAAACAGATCTTGAACAAACCACCAGGGGAGGATGAGATGGATCGTTGCATAGATAAGTTGGAAACACTTGGGTGGGAGCAAACTCCATTGTATGACATAACACTTTACATATTCAGCCAAAGCACMGACTATAGGAAAATTTGGTTACGCTTGAGTGAGGAGAGGTGTGAGGGAWGGGTTAAATTTACAGGTGGTAAGCTCGGTTTATTTTAGTTTGGTGATGTTTTGTTTTGAACAATCTTTTTTAGATGTTTTTTTAGAATGTTTTGTTTGAATGGTATTATGATTGATATAATATGAATAAATGGCTATTTCAATTTGACGGAATATTTGTTTAAACTTGTGGTTAATTTGTGTTTTATATGCAAGGTCATACATGGATGAAAATGATATTATTCTGATTGTGGTAATTGTATATTGGTATTTGAGAAGAAGAGCTTCAACACGAATAGAAAGGGTGAGAGATAACACTTCGGTTCTCACTGGACATGCGTATACACAAGAATTATTAAGTGGATCCAATACGCAATGTCATGAATTGATGCGTTTATCTCGTGATGCCTTTATAATGTTATGCGACCATTTTAAACAAAAAATTGGTTGCAATCAAGTAGGCAAATAAGCGTTGAAGAGAAGATGGCGATGTTTTTGACAATTGTTGCTCACAATGAACGCTTTCGCATGATTAAACGTAGATTTCAACACTCTACACAGACTATTCATAATTGTTTTCATGAAGTATTGAGAGGAATGATGGAATTCGCGAGAGAGGTAGTAGGGCCAACATCGGTTGATGGAACATCAAATACATCAGAGAGATTTAGGCACCTCAAAGAAATATTTCCGGTATGATTTATGTTGTTGATTTGATAATTTCTCAACATTTTTGATATTTTACAAGTTTCATATAGTTGATGTTTTTTAAAGGGGGCTATAGGTGCACTAGATGGAACCCTAGTACATGCAGTTGTGCCTAGTGATCAACAAACAAGGTATAGAGGAAGAGGAAGAGGGGAATGCTACCAAAACGTCTTAGCCATATGTGATTTTAATATGATATTCACGTTTGTATGGGCTGGATGGGAAGGCATTGCACATGATTCAAGAGTTTTGAGGGAAGTTGCATTTAACCCAACTTCGGGATTTCCGTTTCCTTCATCAAGTAAGTATCATTTTATTAACATTAAAAGATTATTATTAATCCGTATTTTTTGAGTTCTAGATGTAATTACAGATGAATATTATCTTTGTGATGCCGCATATACTTGTACCCGTAGATTTATGACTCCGTATCGCAATACGAGGTATTGGTTAGCAGATTTTCGGCGTAGACGTGCATTAACAAAAGAAGAAATGTTCAATGATGCTCATGCACAACTTAGAAATGTTATCGAGCGTGCGTATGGTGTCTTAAAAGCAAGATTTCCAATCCTGAAGCAAATGGCTCCTTATCCTTTTTCAATACAGAAAGATGTGGTGATTGCTTGTTTCGCGATTCATAACTTTATAAGGAAATGCAATATCCAAGACCAATTATTTATGGAACACGATGAGAACACCATGTTTACCGCCAACGAAGAACAACATGAAGGAAGCAATGACATAGAAGTCGATGAAATGCAGTGGAGTTATCAAGATAGTGAATATATGACTAGTTTGCGCGATCAGATTGCAAATCAGTTATTGTCTAATATTTCAAATTAAGATCTTTGCGACAATTATTATGTTTAAATTCAATTTATTTTCTCGTTTTAATATATTTTAATTATGAAATTTGTATTTTTGTCATTTCAATAATTATTCATACATCAAATTTGGTAAATAGTTGCTTCAGTTTAAACCCTTCATCACATAAAGGGTTATAATGGTCATTTTTTTATTAGTCAGCATCAAATCCAGAATACTTGGTAAACAGTTTTTTACAAACAACACTTACTCCAGACAGAAATGCTTACTTTGATCAGACCTCTTATTTCAGACAACGCTTATCAGCTATTGTTGGTAAACAGCCCCTAAGTAATTATTCCATAACACTAAACCTACCACTTATAGTAGATATCTTGTTACAACCTTGTGAACATTTGGACATTTTTAGTGACTATTAATACATTACGATCGCAATGTGAATACCATTGTGGACACATTGTAAAATCTAGGGTGGGGGAACACCTGAACACTTAAACTACACCATAAATGAAAATTTCCAATTGCTCGATAGGACACCATATGATTGCACACTGTAAACACCTTGGTACACAAAAAAAATACAAACAATATCAAAATATGAAGGCTTACATAAAATTGAAATCTACACAAAAGTGAACACTTGTGAAACCCATTTGTATTTTTTCTGCATCTACCTATTCTTGGCTTTTCTGGTGACTCCCTATGGATCTATTCCATGTCTGTTGGTTTTCCAACGAGTACTTTCAGTTGTGTTCCAGATTTCCATCGTTGCTCAGCCGTTCACGAGATCTGGTACGAATGGTGTATAGCTTTTTAGATTTGGAGGGGTGGGCGGAATGAGAAGGCTGGATGAATTCGAATATGAGACTGAGATCAGGCTTGGGTGTTCGTTCATGGTGGTTCCAAGATCTGGATTTAATGTTGAAGGAAGGTTGAGGGGGTAGATAAAGATGGAAGGCATGGTGACGAGAAGCTAGCGATAGGAAATATGATGGAGGAGTGTTTTTCAGATCTACTGGAGTGATGAGGAAGAAGGTTATTTTTGGGAACACCGTTTGATGTTACTAAATTAGAAAAGAAATTTTTGATCAACAAAGTCAAGGGATCTATGGTGTGGTCGCCGAATACGTGGTGACCGAAGAGTTGTCATTGGATTTGTATAGCGTTCGCCATATTTGTAAGTGTGGTTGCCGATGGTGTAATGCAGTTGCTACATCTGAGATGTGGTGGTTGAAAAAGGTCATGTCTTTATAGAAAAAGGGATATGTTGTGGTGGTTGAAAGACGTCACGCCTCTATAGAAAAAAAGGGAGACAATTTAGGAGTTTCAGATTAGGAGAGAGCAATGATAAAATTAAATGTAATAAATGTATTAGTTGCCATCATTTTACAAAATTACCAAATCACCCTTTTATCATTAATTAAATCATTAAACAATTACTTGAAATGATTGGTTTATATAAGACCTTACGGATCTCACAGTTTATGAAGTTCTCAAAATGATTAAGTCTTCTATATGTTGGTGATTTATTTTACAGACACAACCATTAGTACAGATCATACAAAACAATTGGTTGAGATATTTATAGAAATGACATGAGGTTATTTAATTATGATCTGGATATTTATGAAAGATTATTAAAGTTCATTTATTATGATTAATGCATTATATTATGAAAGAATCAAGATATTTATTAAATCAAATATTTATTAGAATACTCAATGAATGATTGAGATTAGTTTGTATGTTTTGTACTAATGAGTAGGTTTGTAAATGATCCACAATCTATACATGCATACACACACACACACTAACACACATACATACATACATATATATATATATAAAATTATATTATATTATTAATATAATATACTAATTAATATAATTTTTTTCTAAATGTGAGGAAAATGGAAAAAAGAGTAAATGCCCCTAACTCAACTAAGTCTTTTTTAACAACCTTTAGAGGTAATGGCCAAATGTAAACCACATCTATCTGTATATTTGAAACTATAAAAATAAAAAGTGTTATAATCAACAAACCAAAATAAATATCATACGAGACAATAGTGTAAAAGAGTCGAGCTTTTAATAGCTCAAACATAATTTTCTAGCTCGAGTTGGGTCTCGAACACAAAATGGAACTCGTTTAACTGACACTACAACAAAATTGGGTTTATAGGACACCCCCAATCTCTAAGTGTCCTAATAGACCGCTTTATAGGACTTAATTTATATGACAAAAATATAAAGCGTCCTATTTAAAGGTGTTGTAATAAGTTTATACGACACTTTTGAGCGTCTTAACAAGTTTTTAAGGACATTACTATTATATACAAAGTGTCGTATTAGCAACTTTATAGAACACTTTTGAGAAATTGTCCTATAAACTCAATTTTTTATAGGACACTTGTTTTTATAGGACATTTTTTCAAATAGTGTCCTATAAAGTTGATAATAAGACACTTTATATTAAAAGTGTCCTAAAAAACTTATTACGACATTAAAAAAACGTCATATAAACTTAATACAACACTATTAGATAGAACATTTTATTTTTTTGGTCCTATAAACTAAGTATAAAGAGGTCTATTAGAATGCTTACAATTTGAGAGTGTCCTATAAACCCAATTTTGTTGTAGTGTGAACAAATCTAACTTCATAAAACCAATGTTTGATTCATCTCGTACGAAAGCTTGATTAAATTTTTCGAGCCAAACTATCCGAGTATATACTTCTTCAAGCCAAATATAGTCATAAGTTCATAAATAATACAATAAAAGTCTAAACACTATAAACCCCAGGCCAATAAACAAGTTAATCGGTAGAGCACGACTGCACGAGCCCATAAATTAGCAATGAGCTCAACAACTCAAAATAAAAATAAAAATTCGAATTCGAGTTGAGCACGAATAACCTACTATTTGATTTTACTATAATTATTCCCCTAAAAGACAAACAAATTAACATTGTGTTTACCATAAGACACCTAATAGATTAAATGTATAATTAATTAGTCAATATCGGGGACTTAATTGTACAGTTTAATTATTAATTCTATCACACAATCTTATATTAATCAACATCTATGACACATACTCACGTGAAGAAAAGGGGAGTGCTAATGGCACCCCCTTTGATGTCAGAATCAAGTCATTCAAGCATTGAGAATGTAAAAAACATGTATTGATTTTGATGTATGTGAAGAAAAAATTCATAGATAGGGATGCATTAAACAATGTATAGGGGTGCATTTAGCCCACCTCGAAGAAAAACCTTTTTCTTCACCTTTACAATATAATATTATTTTATCAACGTTTTATGTGTATTTCAGCTTTTATAACTTCATGGATATTATATTATAAATAAAATACATGATATATACAAAACCGTCGTAATCGCCTCCTATGGTTGACATAATAGCATGAATTAATTCGGGAGGTGGTAGTAACCATTCTTTGAATTGTTGATTTGTTATTTGTTTATTTAAATCAAGGCCAGTTGAATTATTTATAAACTTGAGCGGTACTCGAATGAAGAATTCAATTTCACTACTACAAAATAAGGTATCAGCGACGGATATTAGCCATGGAAAAAATCCCTTGTAGATTGACGACGGATAAACGAGGGAACTGACCAACTTTTCGATGGTTATAATTTGGTTGGTTTTTGATTTTATTTGTTTTAATACTTACGAGAACCAACTTTTATAATATATATGATCTTTATAATTAAAATTATATGTTTTCCGAGTTTGTCTTATTAAATGAATGAAATAACAAAAAGATAAAATAAAATGATGGAATGTGAAAGTTAGACTTAAGAATGAGCTATCGAAAGAAGGGTATAACTATAGTTAACAAGAGTAATTTTACCATGTAAGAGTAACTTTTCTAATGTACCGGTTAGTTAATTATTTTGTGAATTAGGATAATACTTGTTACATAAAAATATTGGATGACGTAGACATTATGACATCTTGAACAAATTTGATATTTTGAAATTGGATGAATCTTATGAAATTATAAAGAAATTTGGCATATAACCATCCCTATAACCATTGTAATTGCATGATATGATTTTGTTACAGAGGTTGAACCCTGACAATTTACATCTTTTTTTTAAGATTGAGAGTTCGAGTTACGAGTTACTGGTCTTAAATATCCTATCGCATCACATGGTAAACAACTTTTAGTACAATCTTTATTATCGAGGAAATTGTAAATTGGTTGACTTTTTAAGTGCCACCAGCTTTTGATTGTCAAAATCCGTTCACGTTGTTTGGTTGACATAGTAGCATGAATTAAATTGAGGGTGGTGGTAACCATTCTTAGAATAGTTCATTCGTTTTTTGTTTATTTAAATCGAAGTTGACCAGAATATTCATAAATTTGAAACATTATTCGAATGAATTCAATTTGAACACTTTTTGATGTTTTAATTTGTTTGATTTTTAACTTTCAATTTTTTAATACCTTTGTATATGATTATTATCAATTTATAGAGATAATAAAATAACAAAAATATAAAATAATTTGATGTGTAGTTGACGTACAACTTGTTAAGCTTATAAATTTATAAATTATCAAAGTAAATGAGTTGGATCCAACTTGTTAAGCTTGAAGGTTTCTCTTTCTCCCCAGCTTCCTAATTAATCCTATACATCTCCGTGTTGACTTTCATTACAACGGCTATAAATACCATCCTTCCCTCTGCAATCTCCTTCACATCTCATTTACTGAATACAATACCTACCTAGCTTCACACACTGTCCTTTGGCATATAAACATACCAACAATCTTAATTTGGTAGTAATGGAGGTTTATTCCCTTAACAAAACGCTTATCTTGTTGGTTCTTCTGTTAGCCACCTTCACCACCATATCACTAGGCCAAGGAACTCTGGTGGGATTCTACAGGGCCACCTGCCCAAGAGTAGAATCCATAGTCCAATCAGCGGTTCAGTCTGCTGTCCGAGCCAACCCCACAGTTGCACCTGGTTTACTACGGATGTTCTTC